AAACCATAATCACAAGACAAGGATAATGACAAATCCAAACTCATATGGACTGAACTCAATCTTAATTTCTTGCCGCCTGGCAGCACAAGGGCCTGCCATTGCTTCCAAGTTGTTATGCAACCAATTGAGAACTCTCAAAACTCATATGCAAAGCCAACTTTAACTGGAATGGGCACAGAAATAGAAATATGTCAACACGATATGTTATAAACCTCACGTCGTGTGCTAGTGTCAAACTACAAGTTTTTTTGTTCTTGATTAGATCTTGAAATTCTTTCGGGATCTTTAAGACTCCCACTGTCCTCTTGACATATAAGACTATCTTGTCAAAAATATTCAAGAGATAGTGCGGATTCTTTATCAAGACAAACACTTCACACAATTGGCCTAAGTTGGTCTTTGTTTTATCCAAAACATCACAATTCACCAATTTCAAATATACAAGAGTAGAAAACATTTTACTCTTACATTTGACAAGTGTTATAAACCTTCTTTAAGATGTGTCACTCAAGTTACAATTTTGGAATATGACTCTAAGAATTGTTTTGGAACGAAGTATGGCTCATCTTCTTGATTTAACCATTTCAACAATTCTTGATTCCTCTTCTTAGCCATATGAATGCACTAAGATGTCCTTAGAGGACCAATTGTGACATGGTTTCTTAATCATTAAGATGATCACAAAACATGATACTAAAGTACTCTCCCATATTTTCAGATTTGAGAAAATTTTATCCTTCTGCCTAATTTGATTCTTCTCATTCGTCCTGCAAAACATTGAAAAAATTTTCAATGTTTCAGAATTATACTTAAACTGGTAAGTATAACCATATTTACTAAACCTTAGTAAATCATGACGAATAGTCTTATCAATCTCTTGTGGTGGACTTGACCAGAGCACAAGAATGTGTACTCGATCCCTTAGTTCCTCACTTGACTCACATATACATGTGAACAAGGATTTAGTGTTAATTTTCCAAAGCTGAAAGTTCTCATTCATCATATTATACAACTTGCATGATTCCAAGTTTTGGTCCAATTAAAACTTGGTTGATGAAAATCTTTCCTTATTTGGTAAATTTAGACACTACCACAAATGAAAGAATCAAATTCATATTTCCATTATTGCTAGAAACATATAAACATCAATTTTCCATAAAAGCCATTGCAAGAAGATATAAACTAAAATAAAATAAAATTTTTATTTATTTATAAAAATGCGGAAATTTTTTTTCCTTACAATGCAGCTTTAAATGAAAACTATGCTATTACATATTTCCTAGCAATCTATCATAACTCTCTAAGTAGTAGCTCAAGAATCCGATCTTCGAACCATGCGATTGAGATCCATCTTCACGATCAGATTCAACATACACTTTCTTTAAGTTTCCTTCCCTTTGCTTGATCCTTCCAAACACCAAAATGTAATCGACTCACATTTTGTATTAAGAATCATCAATAAGGAACTTAACAGAGTTAGATAGTGGACTTACCTGAAGCAGAGTCAAATCCTTTTTGATTTTTTCTTCTCTCTTAGATCTTTCAGGTAGTTAGGGCAGTTTCGCAACCAATGCCCCTTCTCTTGACAATGAAAACATATAGACTCTTTGGGAATGGTACACATGACTATCACAAAACTTAGCTTTTCCCTTTACCTTTTGGTCAACCGGGTTGACCAAGGCCAATCCCTTTCCATTGGGAAGAGAAAGCTTTTCTAGACTTCCAATGTTACCATTGTCAATGTCCATGGAATTTTGAGAAATAGACCTTCCACCCATATTTGCTTGACCATTGCGCCACATCATTTCTGACTCAGCAGCAACAAGCAAATAAGATAGATGTATTAGGGTCATGTTGTGATCTGTCACATAGTAGTTCTTAACGAACTCACTATAAGACTCAGGAAGTGACTGAAGAACCCAGTCAATAGCCAACTTCCTTTGGACAATGACACCCAACATTATCAACCTGTCAAAGTGTGACTTCATTCCTAAGACATGAGAACACACAGGTCTTCCATCTTTATGTTTCATTGCTAGTAGGGCTTGAGTGACCTTGAATTTTTCAAGTGTTCGAGCTTGTGGGTCAGGGAGAATAAACGGAGGAGGTGGAGGTAGAGAAATATGATTCCATGAGATTTAGGAAGATCACAGTTGTCTAAACCATACATCTTGTAGTGGGAGATATTCAAGTTAGTTGATTTTAAGTCCTTAATATAACACCCAATATGAAATATTAAGGCTAGGACCCAACACAATATTTTATAACTTGGAAGAGGGATGTCGTAATCTAAGCTATAAAATATTTGAAGGTAGGTGAATGACGATTCACCAATTTCCACCATGAAAAACGAAATAAATTATTAGGTTTTAATTGGATTTGAAACTCCTAGATCTTTTGAGATTCATTGAACTTTCAATGGCATGTTTCAATCTCAAGTGTGCCCTTCAGGTTTTGTGACTGGGATGTCGAGGATCACAAAACAAGGTGTGAAGTAACCATGCAAATTACTTGGTACCCTTAATGTATTACCCCTCAATCGATGTGCCGGTTAACCATACGCGCTCCATCGATACTATGATAAACATTAAGTTACCCTTTGCCTACCTTGTTAAGCCCAGCTAGTGTGTCGGTTAACCACACGCGCTCCACTAACCGACTTAAGCAAAGTGCAAAGTGTAATTTCATGGGTTAGCACCTTATTCACTTTTTCCTAAAGTAACTAAGATTGGGAATTATAAAACATTTAGTTACTTTATATTCATCATTAATACTTTTAATGAGGGGAGAGTTCTAGTCCTTGTCCTACCCGTTCGGCTAACGACCCTCCACCGATCAAGGAAGCGGTGGGTGAGAGTGGACACCCATTAAGCTGCCATTTTATAGGCTGCAACCTTATACCCCCCTTATAGTCCGACTTCGTGAATGAGGCCTACTAACGGTAAGACTGACTTGCTCTTATACACATATATATATATATATATATATATATATATATATATATATATATATATATATATATATATATATTATTAACTTATAATATTATAAAGTATAAAGGATGAATTTTAACTTTTAAAATTCTAGGGGTTGGAACTAATGTTTTTAAAGTGACTTTACATGTTCCAAAACTTGAGGGCAAGTTTTGTAACTTTCAAAACTTTTCATCTTTCATAACTTATGAGTTAAATGGTTTATTAAAATGAGAGACTTTTCATTTTAACCTATGTGTTTCTTTAATGGACTTTAAAAGAATGACTTTTGGTAATCCATAACGTGAGGACAAATTATGGATTCCATTAAAACACATAATGATCAAGAATCAAACTAACAAGCAAGTTACAAATAGTTCCTATGATCTTCTAAACTCATAAGTTCATGAACATGCATATCATCTATTTATAGAATCATAAAATTAACCATATAAAACTTGAAATTTTGATAATAGCTATTGAAAATGGATTAGCATGACCATTACACCATCTAAAACAAGTTTTATAAGACCAAAACAGTTTAGGGTAATGTTTCTAGTCCATTTCCAGCAGCAAAAGTCGAAAATCTGCACTCTGCCTGGCCAACTCGTCGAGTGCAAGAACTGACTCGCCGAGTTGGTAGAAGATACGCTTGGACTCGTCGAGTCCCCCCATGGACTCGACGAGTCCTCTGTGCAGACAGCAAGAATTTCGACTTTTTCAGCTATTTTGCATCAAGTATCAAACAAACAAGCCTAGGCTCTGATACCACTGTGAGGGTTTTGAGCATTCTAACACTCCTAAGGTGTACATGCAACCCTAGAAACCTTGGATCTATGTTTGACTAAGATACATGCAAAATTGATTTTCCAAGGTTCATAATCCTATCTAGCATACATGGGGAGCTTTAAACATAAAAGTAAGCTAGAAAACATACCTTGTAGTAGTTTGGATTCCTTGAAAACCTTGAGAGCCTAGCACCCCAAGTGTGATGCCTCAAATGTCTCACACAACACCAAATGCACTTGGAATAAACTTGAGAGAAATGTCACACTACTTGAAATCGGCTAGCCCTCTTCTTTCTTGCTTAAGTACCGATTTTGGTGAACATAAGGATCCTTATATAGTGTGTTACAATTAGGGTTACACCATGTAAACCCTAATTGTCATGACCTTTCATTTCCATGACACATGGGTTCTATAACCACCATGGAGCATCCATGGAGCATCCTATGGGTTTTAGCCCAACTTGATAATCCATGGAGCATTAGTCCACTATACAAGTATGAGTGATTTACACAATCAACCCATATATTTAATTAGTCTTCTTTTGATCACTTAATTAATTCCAAATTAATTCTTGATCAATACTAATTAAATAATACTATTAATATATTAATAAACCTTAAGTGTTATTTCTCTCATTTTAGTCTATCCAAATGCATGATGTCATGCAACCCAATTGGACCATGCCAACCGGGTCAAGTACATCCCAAAAATAGTTATGAACTTAGACACCTAATCCAACAACTTTCACCATGGGAGTTTTTCCTTGGGTATATTCAATGGAAAGGTGAACCTGCAAATCCATTGCTTAAGCAATTTCCACTAAAGGAGCTTTGTTGTCTGATACTGCGTGATGCCATGCAACAACAAATTGGGAATGGTTGTAAGGTAATCTTTTTTTGTTTATCTAATTAACAAATGAAAGAAAGTAGGCGATGAATTATAGGCTTGACCAATCTAGAGAGTACATTAGAAGTAGTTAACTGGGTAGGAGCACATAGTTATGTTACCTATCATTGGTGTTATTAAGCAACTTCAATTGTATTTTATAATAAGTTAATAACTACCTATAGTGTAGAAAAATGAATACCTTTTTGTCTAAACAAATATACAAGATAGGTTTTAAAAGGCGTGAAGCGCTCCGAGGCGAGTAGCCACCCGAGAGCTTCATTTTTTGAGGCGCTTCGAATGGAGGGATTCACGTAAGCGAGGCGCTTATATTTTAAAAAAAATTTAAAGTATTTTAGAGCCATACCTCGAAGACAAAACAACTTAATAACCAAGTTAAGAAACAAAAACACCAATTTCATAATTCAAAGACAAATACAGAACATAACAAAAATCATAAATAAGGAAAATGCCTAAAATTCATCAGCATCATCGTCATCAACATCAATCCCAAGTACCTCCTCCTCCTCCTCCCCATCATCTTTTCAGAAATTCCAATATCTTCTTCTATCTCTTCATCAATCAAGCTAAATTCCCTTGAAGCCCTTCTATGATTTGAGGTTTCAGCGACATCATTTCCTTTATCTCTTAATGAAGTTGAACTTGGTGTAGATGACCTCCTAGTAGAATAATTAGGCTCATATGCCCCAAAAGCTTTATCAACAACAGACCAAGTTAAATCATCTCCATCAAACACAAAGTCATCCTCTTCAACATTTTCCTCATCCATATGGCCCATCAACCACTCGTTATTTTCATCTATTTCTTTCAAAATAATAGGATCTGTGGTGTCCTTTCTTTGATATCTTCTTTGCAAATCACGATTAAACTTGATGTATACCATGTCATTTAATCTACTTTGTGCTAATCTGTTCTTTTTTTTAATGAAGTTGTTGAAAGACGCTCCAGTTCCTCTCGCAACCCGTAGCACTACAAGTTAAGCTAAGAACTCAAATTGCAAATTTCTGTAACTCTGGTGCCGACGCTCTATATGCCGACCACCAATCAACTGTTAACAGGAAAAAAAAATCAGCTGTTAAACGAAAAAAAATCAGGTTACAAAAAAAATTAGGACCAATCCACTGTTTTTTTATTACCTGGAGCTTTTTTGTCTCTTTGTCTTATGGCGTCGGATTGCCAAAAAGCCTTGGGCATTTTGATACAAGTCTAGTTGTTCCCCAATCTTATCTTGAGTGCTTAAATCAGGTACCAACCTTTGAATGGTTGCATACAATCCATTCATAACCTCAACACACATTGCATTCTCGGGATTTTTGTAATAAAATTCTGGATTTAAGAAAAACCCGGCTGCATGTACAGCCTATGGAGTTGGCAATCCCACCTTGCATCAATATACTCAAAAGCTTTTTTATAATGTTCTTCCTTATGCAAGAAAGTAGCAGCGATAGTCTCCTTAGCCCTATCCATGGATTCATAGATGTATCCCATGGCTAGTTTTTTGTCTCCATCTACCATTCTAAGAACCTTAACAAGAGGTCCAGTCAACTTTAAAGCATAGACTATATTTCTCCAAAACCTTTCTTGCAAAAAGTTTGATGTTAGTCTCTTCCCCACAACATCTTTTGACCACTTGGTATTGTTCCACTCTGGAGACGTGATCATCTTTCGCAAATTATTTTTTTGTATATGCATTTGGCTGAGAGTAATGAATGATGTTGCAAATATCATGATTGCAGACCTATAGAGGTTTCTCTGATTTGTAAACCTCCTCATCATGTTGACAATGCCAACATGGTTATAGATATAACCATTGTAGAACATGGCTCCCTTCAAAGTATTCTGCATCTTTGGGATCTTTCCAATATCTTCCAACATTAGATCGATACAGTGAGCACAATGAGTCCAATATAAATGTGGTCTTATTACCTCTAACATTGTTCCTAAAAGAGTTTTGAGAGAACTATAAAAGAATAAGGCAAGTGTACTCAAAATAGTAACAGGTAAAAGAGTTACTAAGACTTACCAGCTTTAACATAGTTAGATGCATTGTCTGTCACCACTTGCACTACATTCTCTTTTCCTATCTCGTCCACCATGCCATCAAGCATTTTAAATAATGTGTTTGCATCTTTTTTGATTTCTGAGACATCCAAGGACTTTAAAAAGACTGAACCTTTAGGAGAATTCACTAAAAAGTTCACAATATATTTATGAACAGTTGAATCACGACATCCATCTAATAGAATCGAGCAACCTTCTACTGCCCATTCTTGCTTGTATTCTTTCAACACTTTATGGGTGGATTCTACTTCATTTTTAAGTAGAGGAACTCTAAGCTCATACATGCTTGGAGGTTTGAATCCCTGGCCAAATTGTGCAACAGATTCGATTGCAATATGAAAGCTATCATAAGAGGCTGCATTAAAAGGCAGCCCTGCATCATGAAACCAACGACCTATCTCTTTACAAGCCTTGTCCCTAAGGTCTTTTCGACATACTTCATTAATTGTTTGTTATTTTCCACATTTTCTACCTTTGAGTTTGTCTTTTGGTTTATTGGCATAAAACTTGTCTAGAGGACCTTTTTGTCTTGGTTTTTTAAGTGGAGGCTTGCTACTTGTCCCACGCCATCATCATGTTCATCATAGTCATCAAGTGCCACTACATTTGAATGGTCAGTAGTTCTTGCACTTTTTTCCTGCTTCTTTCTAGATCATATAGTTCTTCACTTCTTCTCGCACATGCTCTGGACACTTTGGGCATCTTTTACAATTTTTGAAACCTCCGACTAAATGTTGTTTTAGTTGGAATATATACTCCTCCGGAAGTTGACTTTGCACAAAATTTGCAAGTAAACTTGTGTCTATTTGTTGGGTCAGCTGTACCATATATCCTGCCTGGATTCATTGCATCTTCAGTGTCAACAATAGGATTGTTGGTGTCCATAGTATTAGTAGAATGGGAAGAAGGGTTGAAAAGAAAAGACTTCAGAATAATGGAAATAAAAGAAAATAGAGAACAATAGAAGAAAATTGCATGGATTGATAGAGAATGGGGGAAGAAGATACATGGATTTATAGTGATTGTCGAGAACTGTTGGAATACCCAGAAGTAATGCAGAGTCGGCATTGATGTATGTGAAGCGTGAATTGAACTAAACAACACATATACGATTACAGTTAAAAAGCAATAACATAATTAATAGGTATAAGGTAGAATTGAGCCTAATGCCTAAGTTAAAAAGCAATAACATAATTAATAGGTATAAGGTAGAATTAAGCCCAATGTCAAAGGCCCGGTACATGAATCCCTAAAGGCGAGCCCTTTGGCGCCTCAAAAAGAATCGCCAATTCACTGCAAAAGTCGATGCCTCCTGCACACTACCTCGCCTTGGAGGTTGGAGGCGTTTCCATTGTCGCCTTAAGTCACCTAGCGCCTTAAGCGCGATTTTTAAAACACAGTATACAAGAATCGCACAGTATACAAAAATCGCTTTTGTTTTTTTTTTCTTAACAATACTACTTAATTTTTTAGGTAAGATTTCAATTTTAATCTGTCGTTTTGTTGATTATTAAACTTTGATATATTTTTAAGAGAAATTCAATATCTTCATATATTTTCTTCCTACATATCTTCCTACCCATCTTAAATGATGACATGTGTCATTTTTAATGAAAATAAAAATATTTTAATACATTTGTGTGACACATGTCACCATTTAAGATACTGATATGTAGGAAGAAATATAAGAGGATATTTAATTTCTCTATTTTTAATTTGGGCTTAAAAATTTGTTCTAATTTTTTTTATTAAGTGATTTTTAGATATATAATTAAACAATCCAACACATCAAAATGATTTCCATTGGATGGAAGGAATTAGTTCTTTCTTTTTTCTATCTATCATCACATATAGAAATAATATATATGTAGCTGAGAAACATTAACAATAAACCACTTTGAATGATTTCCGTCCCGACTTTTGTTAAATTTGATATGAACCGAGTGGGTAAGTGGGATCGGGTCTAGCAGAGGCTCAAAAAGAAAGCAGTGGTTGTTTCGTAATTTATGATTATTCTAGTATCTTTATTATTTATTATTTATCTAGTTGATTCTAGTTTCCTTATACAGTTAGGGTTTCCTTCTACGAGTATAATATTTTTTTATCAGTTTAGGAGAGTCAATAAATAGGGTTAGGACCGGGCGACCGACTCTAAGAAGGCATGCAAAGTTTGATGTGTTTTCAATTTTGTGGAGATCCTTGAGTCTTGAATATTAGGCCCCCTATTTTTTGTTCTTTAAGCATTAAGTTGCGAGTATTTGTGTTTGCCAATCCAGTTCTATCAAAATTCTTATCACTTTGATATGTTTATGACCTGTTTGCACTTGTATATGACAGGTGCTGCCAAATCTGATGATAATGGAACTTTACGATTTAAATAACCTAATCATGACACCAAATTTTGATGGAATTCCATATCTTGAAAGATTCAAGCTTTGGAGATGCGAGAAACTAGAAGAGATTCATTCATCGTTTGGACGCTTAATTGGACAGGATTGTTTGCTTATCTATAGTGCTTTGCAAAGGTATTAAGAAATTTCCATCCATTACGTACCCGACTAAAGAAACTCGAGACCCTTTCATTGCACGTAAGCCCCAAAGTTATTGAGCTCTCAGAGATGCAAGAGAAGATGGACAATTTGTTGGGAGAAGAAGACATCAGTTCTGCTATTTGCGAATTATCCAACTTGTAAAGGAAACAAAAGATATCATAAGATTTTAGATTATTTATTTCCTTCCTTATGTATTCTATCTTTGGTATTTTCCCTTCTATTGTTGGGAGTTTGTTTTGTCATTCTCATATATATCTCACATATCTGTTTTACATCTCTGTACATTCAATCAATAAAATAAAAAAATTGGTTCTCACCCTATAATTTTCATGGTATCAGAGCAGGTTATTTAAGCCTTTCCGGTGACCATGGCGGGAGAGAAAGGAGGAGATGGCAGCAAGAAGGTGGATGATGGAGAGACGATTGATGTAAACTCGCCTCTCTACGTTCATCCTTCTGAATATCCAAAACAGGTCCAGGTGAACGACATGTTAAACGATAACAATTATAACGAATGGAAGCAGGAGATGGTGAATTTCCTGCTTGCGAAAAACAAGATGGGGTTGGTCGATGGCACCATCAAGAAAATTGAATCAACGTCACCTCTACACTCTGCGTGGGTACGTGCAGACCCAATGATCAAAGGATGGTTAACAGCCGTGATGGAGAAAGAGATCCGAACAAGCGTACGATACGCAAACACCTCAACAGAAATCTGGAGAGATTTAGAGGAACGGTTCGAAAAGGAAGGAGCACCTTGCACCTATGAATTGAAGCAAACCCTAAACTCCATGCGGCAAGAAGGTACCACTGTTTCCACTTATTACACCAAGCTTCGATCCATCTGGGATGAACTCCAAATGGTTCTTCCTACACCTCGCTGTAAGTGCAGTGGTTGTAATTGCAATATTGGGAAACAACTAAATGAAGTGAAAGAGAAGGAGAAGGCGTACGAATTTCTGATGGGACTTAACGAAGATTTTGCGGTTATACGCACCCAGATCTTAGCCATGAATCCGACACCATCGTTGGGGACTATCTACCACCTGGTGGCAAAAAACGAACAACAAAGGGCAATCACGAGAGGATCGAAAAGAGCCAACGCTGAAGCATCCGCTTTCCAGGCTAATTACAACTCGCAAAGAGGGTACCAACCACATCAAGGGAAGCAGAACACGCATGTGACAAATAAAACAACACAAAAGGCCACAAAATCATAACACAACAAGAAAGAAAAATGTACATTCTGCCAGAGAGAGGGTCACAACAAAGAAGGATGTTTCAAGATCGTTGGGTACCCGGAATGGTGGCCGGGCAAGAAAGATAAACCGAGACCTAAAGCTGCTTGCGTAGAGATGCTGTCAAGTCCTATACCAGGGCTGACAGATGAACAATATCATTTATTTGTCACTCACTTCAAGGAGAACAGAAACATGGCAGGCAACGAAAATCAACCAAGGGCAAACATGGAAGGTAAAGATCTCACATGTGATGGTTGGGTTGTTGATTCTGGCGCAACTGAACACATGACTTGTAGAAGTGACTTCCTGCAGAATAATACCCAAAACCCTAAAGGGGCACCAGTTATCATTCCTAATGGGGATAAGGTGCCTGTCATGGGAGAAGGCGAACATACTCTTCCAGGAGGTGTTAAGATAAAAGGAGTTTTGTTTGTTCCCACTTTTGATTATAATCTTCTTTCAGTCAGCAGACTTGCAGATGATCTTAACTGTGCTGTTACCTTTTTCCCTGGTTTCTTTGTTATACAGGAGTTGGGGACGAAGCACTTGATTGAAGCGGGTAACCGGGTTGGAGGACTGTATCGAATGGGAACAATGAAGATGAACAAAGCCCTGCTAACCACTTTCGATGTATGGCACAAGAGACTTGGTCATCCATCAACTAAGAAGATTTCACACTTAGACTTTATTCATGTTTCAAAGGATAATCATAAGTGTGATGCTTGTTTTAAAGCCAAACACACACGCCTTCCTTTTGCTACTAGTGAAATAAAAACACTTGCATGTTTTGATTTGATACATTGCGACGTGTGGGGGAAATATAAAACCCCATCCATGAATAAAGCTTATTACTTTCTTACTGTAGTAGACGACTTTAGTAGAGCTGTATGGACTTTTTTGCTAAAACACAAACATGAGGCGAGCACATGCCTTATAGACTTCTGCAAAATGGTCAAAACGTAATTTGGAGTTCAAATCAAACGAATACGGACTGACAATGGGGGAGAGTTTGTGTCAAACAACATGAGAGATTTCTATGCTCAAGAGGGCATCTTTTTGGAGACGTCTTGTGCACACACCCCACAACAAAATGGGGTGGTGGAACGCAAGCATCGACACTTGCTTGAAACCGCTCGTGCCCTACGTTTCCAAGCTAACTTACCAAAGACTTTCTGGGGAGAATGTGTTTTAACAGCGACTTATGTCATCAATAGAATGCCCTCGAAAATTCTGCATGGGGACACACCTTATGAGGTCCTATTTAAACAAAAACCCTCATATGAACATATGCGGGTGTTTGGTTGCTTGACCTATCATCGGAATATAGACACCGGGGGAGACAAGTTTGAGCAGCGTGGTAAACCTGGCATCTTTGTTGGTTACCCACCGGGCACCAAAGGTTACAAGATATATGATTTGGAGATTAGAAAAATAGTCATTTCACGGGATGTTCGATTTCTTGAAAACGACTTTCCCATGAACCACACCAAA